CTTCTAAAACAGATACATTTTGAGACATAAAATATACCTTAACAAATTTAAATTAATGAAAATCAGCTGGGTACTTGTGGCTCACTCCTGCCATCCCAGTTACTTGGGAGGCTGAGATGGGGAGAATCACAGTTCAAGGCCAACCCCTGCAGAAAAGTCCATGAGATTCCATACTAACAGAAGAGGGACTTGGTGATGTGTGCTTGTCATACTAACTACACTGAAGATGAGATCAAGAGGACTGTGGTTCTCTAGACTAGCCTAGACAGACTCTGTCTCAATGAAATAAGTTGGGTGTGGCAGCACATGCCTGTTATCTTGGCTACAACAGGAAGCTAACAGATGGATCATGGTTCAGGCACACACCTGGGCAGTAGGCAGATCCCTATCAAAAATAATAACCAACATTAAAAAAAGAGCTGGAGGCATGGCTCAGCAATACAGCTCTTAAAGAGGCCCCGAGTTCAAATCAGCAGAAAAACAAAAGAAGGAAGAGGAAGAAGAAAAAGCAGCAGCAGCAAAAAAAGAAGAAAAGAAAGAGGGGGGGAGTGAGGGAGGGAAGAAGGAAGAAAGAAAGGAGGGAAGGAAGGAGGGAAGGAAGGAAGGAGGGAGGAAAGAAAGAAACCATATAATGTATGATCACAGAGGAATTAAATTGAAAAGCAGTAACAGAAATAGAGATGGAAAATCCAGAATGCTTAAGAGATTAATACCATCCTCTAGCCAAGTAGGTGATTTGGGTTTATAATCCTAGCCACTCAGAAGACTGAGATCTGAAGATCATGACTTTAAGTCAGCCTAGGCAGAAAAATCTCTGACTCCTATCTCTAATTAACCAGCCAAGAGCCAGAAATAGAGCTTGGCTCAATGGTAGAATGCCAGCTTTGAGTGAAAAGCAAAGAGACAGTATCTACACTGAGTTCAAGTCTTTCTCTCTCTCTCTCTCTCTCTCTCTCTCTCTCTCTCACACACACACACACACACACGCACACACATCTTTCTGAATAATGTGTAGGTCAAACAGGAAATATTAAAATATTTTCATTAAATGAAAACAAAAAAATCTATCAATACTTGTGGAATGCAAAGAAAGCAATCACAAAAAAAATTGATAACACTGACTGCATATATTAGAAAAGAAGCTAGGCACCAGTGACTCATGCCTGTAATCCTAGCTATTCAGAAAGCTGGGATCTGAGAATTTCGGTTCAAAGCTAATCCAGGCAGGAAAGTCTATGAGACTCTTATCTACAATTAACCATCAAAAAGCCAGAAGTGGAGCTGTGGCTCAAGTGGCCTTGAGTTGAAAAAACTAAGGGACTGTGCCTAGGTGCTGAGTTCAAGCCCAAGTACCAGCACCAAAAAAAAAAAAAAAAGGAAGGATCTAAATCCAACAGTCTAAGCTTACACCTTAAAAACAATAGAAAGTTAAATCCAAAGCAAGCAAAAAGAAAAAGGAAACAGAGAGCAATGAAAGTAAAAAGAGGATGTAGAGAAAACAAATGTCACCAAAAGCTGGATCTTTGGAAAGGCCAACAAGTGTGTAAGGCTCTAGCCAGGAGAAGGGAGCACAATAACTATTAATAAAGAGATGAGGCTGGGTGCTGGTGGCTCATGCCTGTCATCCTAGCTACTCAGGAGGCTGAGATCTGAGGATCACGATTCCAAACCAGCCCAGGCAGAAAAGTCAGTGAGACTCTTATTTCCAATTAACCACTCAAAAACAAGTAGAACTGTGGTTCAAAGTGGTAGAACACTAGCCTTGAGTAAAAGAGCTCAGGGACAGTGCCCCCTCTCTGAGTTCAAACCCATGACTGAAGACAGAGAGAGAGAAATGAAGAGCAAGCCTCACTGCAGATCCCACAAATTCAATTACCTAGATGAAATAGATGGATTCTATGAAGGACAATCTGCCAAAACCCAGACACAAAGAGACAATCTGGACAGACCTACATCTATTAAAGAAGCTGAATCAATAATTAACAACCTCTCCAAAACAGAAGAAGCATCGGATGGGTTCTTCCAAACATTCAGTGAAGAAATTATGCCAGCTCAGTTCTCTATAGTATCTTCCAGAATACAGTAGGAACAGAGGGAACTTCCTCACTTATCTGTGAGGCCAGTAATACCCTAATGCCCAACTCAGACAGAGATGTTACAAGAAAACAAAACTAGAAAATAACATCTCCAATGGACATATACAAAACTCTCAAAGTATTAGCAAATCAAATCCATAAATGTGTAAAAGGAGCTCAAGGCCACAAACAAGAGGGATCTGTATGAGTTATGTAAGGCTGGTTGAACAAAGGAAAACCAATTAATGCAATCCATTCTATCTATAGGCTAAAGAATAAAAGCATACAAATATACATTTATATGAATGATTTCGTGTCAGTAAATGCAGAAAAGGCACCTGACAAAACCCAACACACCTTTGTGATAGAATATCTTAAGCATGAAAGAACTTCTTCAAGTTAATGAAGATGTCACTACAATGACCCACACCTCGATACTTATGAACAAGAAACCTGACTGTCCCTCTGCAGTAGGAAGAAGACAAGGATACCCCTTTGATAACTTCTACCCAGTTAATGTAGGAACAAAAGAAACCAGAAGAAATAAATCTCTTTTCACAGATGACACATTTGTCTATGTAGAAAATCTGAATCAATAGAAAAGCTTCTGGAAGCAATTATAGCAAGGCTGTAAAGGACAATGTTAACACAGAAAAGTCATATTGAAGGATGAAAGTGTGGCTAAAGCGGTAGAGTGCTTGCCTAGAAGGGCTGAAGTTTAAAATCCAGTCCACCAAAAAAAAAATTAACACAAGAATCAACAACAAAATGTCACATTGATATCAACACCAATCTGCATGAATAAACCTGAAACATGGAACATCTACTTTTTTTTTGGTCAGTCATGGGGCTTGAACTCTGGGCCTGGGCACTGTCCCTCAGCTCTTCAGCTCAAGGCTAGTGTTCTACCACTTGAGCCACAGCACCACTTCCAGTTTTCTGAGTAGTTTATTGGAGATAAGAGTCTCACAGACTTTCCTGCCTAGACTGGCTTTGAACTGTGACCCTCAGATCTCAGCCTCCTGAGTAGCTAGGATTACAGGGGTAAGCCACTGGTGCCCAACTTAATATTTTTACTTAAAAAAAAAGAAATCCAAGAACTGAATAGAAAGATATCCCATATTTGTAGATAAGAAGGCACAATAGTCAAAACATCAGTTTTCTCAGCTTGATCAATTAAACCCCAATAAAAACCCCAGCGTGTTATTTTGTGGATATCAACACAATGATGTGAAACTTCATCTCGCTATAAGATGCAGAAGGGCCACTGCTATCTTGAAGGAGAAGAAAAAAGTCAGACTACCATTGGCCAAATTCAAGACATACTGTAGAGTCGCAGAACAAAGTGTAGTATTGCCAAGAACAGACAAATACATCAACTGAACTGAATACAAAGCTCAGAAACAGAAATACAGGCAACCAATGTGTAACCAAAAAAACAAAACAAAAAAACACAAAGGAACTACAATTGAAAAATACAGCTTTCAATAAATGGTTATAAAGCAACTAGACACCCAGTGGCAAATAAATCCATTTAAACAAACCTTATTTCTTCACAAGAACAAACACAAAATGGCATAGTCTTAAATGTAAACCTCATAGAACATAATATGAAGCAAATCAAAGTGACCAGTGATAACTGGTTTGGGTTTTGTTGTGTTGTGTTTGAAACAGGATTGAGTCTCACAATGTAACCCAGACTGGCCTCAGACTTACCATCCTTCTTCCTCTGCCTTCCAAGTGTGAGGATGATAAGCTTGGGGCACAATATCCAGCTCAGTTTGAGAATTTCTTAAACCTGAACCCAGTCTTGCCTTGTATCTACACATTATGCTCCTTAGTATTTACTGAAATGAGTTGACACCTTGTGCCTGCACAAAAACAGGTACATGGATACTGATGGCAGCTGTATTCATAATATCCAAAATTTGAAAGCCACCAAGATGTCCTTCAAGCCATCAAGATGTAGTGGAAAAAATAAGTTAACTATGGTATATCCTGACTGCAGAATACTTTACAACACTAAAAAGAAAAGTGCTACCAAGCCACAAAAAGACATAAAAGATCCTTAAATGCCTGTCACTAAGTAAAAGAAGCCATTCTGAAACAGCTGTGGACTGTGTGAAGCCAACTGTATGACAGCCTGGAAATGCAGAGCTGGACCCTGAGATCTAGGGGGTGGGGAGTAGAGGGGCAAACAGGCCAAGTACAAGAGGTTTTTAGGGGCCTGAAGCTACTTCACAATTCTGCAATGGTAAGTCCATGTTACTAAAACTCACAAGACGTGCAAAGTCAAGAGAGTGACCTTCAGTGTAAATCCAGGTGGTGGCTGATTGTCAATGCAAATCACACGTTGTTTCAAATGTCCCACTCTGGCAGTGACAGGCTGTGTCTGTGTAGGGTGGAGGCATAAGGGAACTCTGTATCTTCCCACAATTTTGCTATGAATCTAAAACTGCTCTAAAAAACCATCTATTTTAAATTAATACACATCATTCTTATTCTATTCAATTTTATTTTCTCTTTGACTAATTCCCATCCCCCACCCCTAATGGAGCTAACAGAATAAGAAAAGGAATCTCGGGGCTGGGAAGGTGGCTCAGTGGTAGAGCGCTTGCCTTGCATACTCGAGGCCCTGGGTTCAATTCCTCAGCACCACATAAGCAAAAAGAAAAAAGCCAGAAGTGGCGCTGTGGCTCAAGTGGTAGAGCACTAGCCTTGAGCTGAAGAGCTGAGAGACAGTGCCCAGGCCCAGAGTTCAGGCCCCATGATCGGACCCAAAAAAAAAAGAAAAGAAAAGGAACCTCTAGGGTAGTGTCTGCTGGCTTAGGAGAGCCATTACCTACCCATCACCACTTGTTCAGAGCAGCACATTCAACTCATTCTGTCACTCAGGCAAAGCAAGATGCTTGCTGGCTACCGTACCTGGAGGGAGGGTCTCCACACTCTGTCCTTTCTCATCGCCATTGCTGTGGTGCAGGTCTTTCTTTTTAATGGAGTCAATTTCATTCCAGTCCTCCTGGAGGAACAAAGACACCAAATGAATCTGCTGATACTGAAGCATGCCTTCATGCATCAGCTACACACACACACACACACACACACACACACACACATGCACGCACGCATGCATACACGCACACTGTCTTAGGACACGGTCCATGCAATCAGCCCAGGGGATGAATGGTGGGTGGCTGAGTTCCTGCCTAGGGGCCCCCTTCAGGGGATTACAAGGTCAGAACCCAGAAGAACAGTGTAATGTGGCTTTGCTGGAAAGCACCGCCCCTCACCCCCACGTTGCCTGTGCTCAGAGCAGTGCCCTGGATCCCAGAGCTTCAAGGATGAAGACAGCAGGGAAAGTGGACTAGACAAGAGAGATTCTGTGGCAGCAAGGTCATGGAAACAAACAACTCAGGTGACTCTAAGCAAACCTCTGAAGGTTCTGGGAGCTCTACAGGCAGTTGCTTTAAGTTTGGGTGCCTGACACACAGAGTGGGTGGCTGTGGGCCTTCTCTGTGGCTTCATACTAGGGGCTGGGGAGCAGACTGCCAGGGCGTAGGTCTGCAGAGCAAAGACTATGCAAGCTCTGTGGAATATATCCCACTCATCTGGGCAAATGTTTTGCTCTAATTCATCAACAGTAAATCAAACTAAATTACAACTCCACAACCACAGAGCTAAATGCATTTTCCACCCTCTGGAATCTGATTTCTGTGAATAAGAAAGGTTTCTATGCAGAATACAAATCAGAAGTGTCCCTTGGGCCTAGTACTACAGACCAGCCATTTCCTGAACAGATGCCGACAGAAGCCTGGGCAGCAGAAGCCACTCCTTGGGGTTCAGTTAGCTCTCAGGACCAGGCTGGCACCTCTGCCAGCTCTTTAAAGTACAGAGTGAGACCTTCAAGAAGGGCAATCCTGCGGCAGTGGTGGTGACTCACACCTGTAATCCTAGCTCCTCAAGAGGCTGTGATCAGAGGATCCAAGACTCTATGTCATGTCAGCTAAACAAAATGTTGGACTAGAAAGAAGTGTGGCTCAGGTGAGTGCCAGCCCTGAGTAAGAAAGCCAAGTGAGAGCTCCAGGTCCTGAGTCCAAGCCTCAGTACTGTGAAGGAGGAGGAGGGAGAGGAGAAGGGGAAAGAGAGGGAGGAAGAGGAGAGGGGAGGTGGGGGAAGAAGAGGAGGCAAAGTGGCAACCTCTAGGACACATCTTTCCCAAATGCAATTCTCTGCATTTGGCATTGCTGCCCGAAGCACAGTAACAAGAAGGAACTAATCTCAGCCCCCATTTTTGGCACAGCTTTTCTTCTCTCTCATCCTGCGGCATCTGCAGTGGGCAGTACAGCTGGGTTTATCCCTGCAAGGGAAGCCGGAGGGTCAGGCTGCATGGGGGAACTCTTACCCAGCAGGCCTTGCTCAGACTCCCTAGCACCCCTAGTACTTTCCTATCCCATATGTAAAAATGTATTTAACCTCATATATTTTTCCAACTTAAAAGTTTTGTTGGTCCAGAGTTCACACCTATAGTCTCAGCTACTCAAGAGGCAGGTATAGGAAGATTGAGGTCTGAGAGTGGCCAGATAGGAGAGCCTATCTAAAGAACAAACTAAAGCAAAAGAACTGAGGACATAGCTCATCTAGAGTGGTAGGACTTGCCAGGTAAGCACAAGGCCCTGAGTTCAGTATTTTCTGCTATAAAAAGATTGAGAAGATGCTTGTAATTAGTTTCTGAGATTATCTGGCTATAAACTTTCAAGCTATAATTGGCAATAATTTTGCAACCGCCATGGTAGCTGTATGAGTGGCAGAATCAGCTGTTGACCAGTAGTTTCACAGTACTGTATAGGAAAGCAGATCAGCAGGTCATGAAGCTGCCTGAGCGGCACTGCAAAGACTTTCAATTAGGTGCTAATTTTTATTTTGTAGCCTGCTTATAGTATTTTGTGGCTAATAACCTCTCCCACACCAGACACCTGGCCTCTCATAATCCCTGGCTACTGGTTCAAACCATCCAACCTCCTCCTCGTCCCACCCATCAGCCACACATACCACAGGAACACACTAGAGAGGCAGGGGCACAGCACCAGGCAGGAGAGACCACACTGGGCCTCTCTCTGATGAAGGCCACTGCACAGCTGCCACCACTCACTAGCAAAGACCTGACTCACAAGATCAACAGGTTAAAAGTTTGTCCAAGTCACACAGCAGTGAAAAGCTGAAGCTGTCCCCACACAGGTCAGAACAGGGACAGCAGGCTAGAGCTCAAGTTAAGCCAAGTCATCAGGGGCTCAATCTCCACATGTCACAAAAGGAACATGCCTGTCATTCACACAAAGTTGATATTTTCTGGGCTTTCAAGCCCAAACTTGCAATCAGTCAGTTAGCTACCTGCTTGGGGGGGTGGGGGGAGAACCCCACTGCCCAAAGACACTGTATACATGCTGTCCTCTGACAATCACCATCTCCACCACACAGAAGACGAGGCTGGGACACAAAGTCTGAGGGGCAAGAGATGCATAAAGAAGTGGGATCTGAACCCAGGACACTTAGGGCCTAAGTCCAGGCTTTGGCACCTGCTGTGCTGCCCCTATATGAGATAACTTAGCATGAAATGACCTGCTAACCACTTGCCCTGGAACACACTTGGTCACAACAAGACCTTACAAATACAGTCTGGGATGACGATCAGACTTTCTGACTGATTCAGAGCTCAGGCACAACTCCCTGGGCTGCAGCTCACTTACCCAGATACCTATCTCCTCTCCTCTCTCTGTCCTGGCCCATCAGTCCACACATGCATGTTCCACAGGGTGCAAGGGCAGGGACCCAGCAGCCAGGCTGGGAAGCCTCTGAGAAAGGCTGTGCACTGGGCACAGGGAGGTCACAGCGCAGGGAACTGAGGGAGGCAAGGGGAAGGCTGGGGAGGGGCTGGTTGGCGGCAGATGCTCCAGAAGAGGGAAAGGGTCAGGACGTGCATGGCAGGGTAGTCTGAGGCTGTGCCCATTGCTCTGGCAATGGGGTGGGAACCAACTGGAAGGGACAGGGGAGAGGCTAGGTGGCCAGGCTGGTGAGGCAACACCAGCAGAGTAAGCTGAGCCAAATCCAGGGCAGAGAGGTGGTGGGTCAGGTTCCACCGGGAAGAAAGGGCCAAACACAACACCCGGAGGCCTTCCCCAGGACTCTGGCTTGCTGTCAGGGGAGGGGGCTGCCGTTGCAGAAAGCTGGACACACTCACATTCTACCTGAGACCCTGTGGTCTGAAGCAGGTGCTGAGACTTTTCCCTCTCTTTCTTTAGAATATGTGGGCAGAACAATGAGAGCTTGAGGTTCTCGTCTTACACTTCCTAACCTATCAGGCTGGTGGCTATGACCTAGACATCAGAATCACAGCTCAGAGTGCACACCCTGCCCAGGACACGGTACAGGCAGCTGACCCAGACAGAGTCAGGCCCTGTGTGAGTGAGATCAGGGGGGATGCCTTTACTCACCATGACCTGAAAGCACAGCAGCCCAAACCAATCCTACTTCCAAATTGGCAAGGACATATTCATGGTGTAACGCCACACCAACCCATCCCACCTAGGACAATTATCACCTGTGATGTTTTTTCAATTATGAAACACTACCAAAGTAACATGCTTACACACATAAAAGTAGCTAATAATGAAGAATAAATGTTAGGCATATTGCTAAACTGTCCAGAATTGCCTTCAAATAATTTAAGCAGCTAACATCATGCTTGCAATGAAGATGATATTCCATTACTGTGGAAGGAGAGGGGGGAAAATAGGCTGTTTTAGTCCCCCCTACTGAAGTATATTTCGTAGTATTAAATTGTTTTAGCTACTAGACCATATGCTCAGGCACAGAATGTGAACCAAAAATACCTGAATGACTGATTCCTTTCTCACTGACTGACTGTCTTTGTTATTTAAAGGCTGTTTAGAAACTGTCAAGAAGCCTGATGCAAACCGCAGTACTCAAATTTCTACAAAGCCTGGTTGCTAGGTTTGGTAGCAAGAAGTGGCAACTCAGACTTGTGGCCCATCTCTCAAGAGGTAAGACACTACAATGATAGTTAACAGCAAGGTTTCAGGGCACACTAGTTTCTTGCTAAAGACCATGGCCTGCATACCTAGCCAAGTGTTTCCTCCACAGATGGTCTACAGTGGAACAAGGAACTGCTGGCTGCTACTGGTTCTTCAGTGGCCCTCACTCAGGGTTAGGCAGAGGAAGCCTCCAGTTTTCTCTATGAGAATGAGGACCCTCTGGCCTGTGGTATCACTGCATAACATCCAGTTTCTCCACAGGATGTGTAGTTACCAACCAACAAACGACGTAAGAACACTCACAGTCTTACATATTGGGAAACAGTGTTAACATGTCAAACACACTGGGAAAGTTTGAGGTTGCTGGGGTGGTACTGGCTTGTCACCTCAATCAACTCTGGCTACTCCCCATGAACCTCAGTTCCAATGGCTTTGAGACCAAACAAGGACAGAATAATGTAACTCTAAGGCTCCAAGTGGACATCAATCCTATCACTAAGAATGTTAAGTCTTACTTCTCCCATTGAGGGTCCAGCTCCTTTACAGGACACTAACCTCATTTCCTGCTGGCTCCTTCTCGACTTGCTGACAAACAAATACATATTTTACTTTTGTGGTCTTCTCCCCAGGTCTATAACCCCAATCTGACCATGGAAGAAACAAACAAAAAGCCCATACAATCCTAGGACTTCTCCAACTGCCAGAGCCATCAAAATACAAACCAATCACTGAACCAACAACACAGAAGGAAAGTCTAAGAAGGCATTACAGCTGAGGGGAGACAAAGGGTATCCTAGACAGTGTAGGCCAGAAAGGGCAATGGCAAGAGGAAGCTCAGGAAATGAGAACAGAGAAGGGAGTTAACTGACAAAAAGATATCCACGGTTGATTCTTTAAATGAAAATTTTTCCTTACTAGGGCAACATTGTAGGCATAGTGGAACTAGGTGTAGTGTATACAGGAACTTCAC